GTGCGTGTGCGTGTGCGTGTGCGTGTGCGTGTGCGTGTGCGTGTGCGTGTGCGCGTGCGTGTGCGTGTGCGTGTGCGTGTGCGCGTGCGTGTGCGTGTGCGTGTGCGTGTGCGTGTGCGCGTGCGTGCGTGCGTGCGTGCGTGGGTGTGTGTGTGCGTGTGTGCGCGGCGCGCGCGGCGCGCGCGCGGCGGTGGCGCGGCGGGGGGGCGCGGCCGTTGCAGGAGCACGCGGCGAGGGGGCCAGTTGGAGCGACGGGCGGACAATTAGGAGGAGGAGGAGGAGGCACGTGACAAATCCCACTCTGAAAAGGTGCAACCGCGGGGCGGTGCATCTGTCAAACCCCGCTCCTTGCGCAGCACCGTGAGCCACGAGCCTGCGGCAGAAAGGTGCAATCTTTTTTTGCTTGGGCCCCCGCGGTGCCGACGCTATATCAACGGCGAGCAGACCCACAACCAATCGGCAACATTTCGTCTCGCACACCTCCTCCTTGCACAGGATGGGGAACTGGCGAGCAGACAGACATCTAACCGGCAACACTTTGCACGTTGTCTTGCGCGCGTCCTCCTTCCAGCCGCAGCAGGCTACGCGCCTGCAGAAGATGGCGCATTCGGAGGGGGGTGGGGGGTGGGGCGTGTGTTTGCGTGTGTGTGTGTGGTGGTGGTGGTGGTGGTGGTGGTGGTGGTGGTGGTGGTGGTGTGTGTAGAGAGAGAGTGTGTGTGGGTGTGTGTGTGTGTGCGTGCGTGCGTGTGTGTGTGTGTCTGTGTGTGTGTGCGTGTGCGTGTGCGTGTGTGTGTGTGTGTTTGTGTGTGTGGTGTGTGTATGTGTATGTGTGTGTGTGCGTGCGTGCGTGCGTGTGTGTGTGTGTGCGCGCGCGCGTGCGCGCGTGCGCGCGCGCGTTTGGTCGCGGCGCGCGCGGCGAGCCGCGGCCGCGCCGCCTGGAGGCACAAGCCGACTGACAGCGGGCTGAAACGGGGAGCTACACGCTCCAGCGCTGACAAGCGCCCGCCACAGGCGGCAGGGCCTGGTCGGGCCTACACGGCCGCGCCAGCCCTGCAGCGACGGCTGGGCCAAGCAGAGGCCACGCCGCGGGACGGGTCGGGCCTGCGCGGCCGCGCCTGCCCCCTTGGGGCCACGCCCCTTCCCCTGGGCCGACGGGGGGGTTGGGGGCAGAGAAACAGCTGGACTTTCCCAAGGGCTTCCCCAATCTGGCGCAGTCAGGGCAATATTAAATCGAGGACTGTGCCCCATGTGATGACCTATTCTAAAAAGCCATAGAATCGCTCCATGTTGGGGCAGCATGAAAGTGAAGACTTGCGCTGCCTTCTAGGGCCACTCCTGGCGCCATATTCCCGAATTTCCCCCGAGCGCTTGGAAGCCCCAAAAATAAGATATTGTTTGGCGCGGCGATCCGTTTTTCTAGCGGCAACCGTTCCGTGCAACAGGAAACCCCTGCGGCCGCGGCGCCGCCCACGCTGCCGAAAGAGAAGACATGCCGAGCCGCGTGAAAACACGACCCCCGCTCAGCGCGGCAACTTTCGGGCTGGCCGGAGCTCGGACAGGTCAAAGCTGACATCTACCCCAAGCCAAACGGGGTGTCACGCGGGCGGGCGATGACAGACAACAATCGAGGCTTGAACACGCACGATGATGGACGCGGCGGGGGGGGGGTAATACGGGCCCTGGCACCCCCGAAGCTTCGCCGGCACTTCTGGGTGGCGCACGCCCGCGACGAGGCGATCAGTTCTTCTAGAGGCCATCGTTCCGCGCGACAGGAAACCCCTGCGGTCGCGACGCCGCCCGCACTGCCGAAAGAGAAGGCCTGTCTTGCTGGGTGAAGACTCAGCCCCAGCTCAGCGCGGCAACTTTCGGGCTAGCTGGAGCTCGGACAAGCCAGAGCTGAC